TAAAAAAAAAAAAAAAAATAGGTAAAAAAAACTTATGCGGCCAACTTGCAATCTTAATTCACTCTGTCCAAGTCTGGGTGACCTCCTACTATTGTAAATAAAGAAATCAGGCACTCAAGCACGCAATTCATAGAGCAAACAAAACGTGGCCCCATTGTTCTCATGACAGTTGATATAACTTTCAGTACGCGTAAGCGAAGAAAAAAAAAAAAAAAACGAGCAAGTGATAGGTATGAATGGCATAAAGAATTGAGATGTCCCGGGCGCGAGATCGCATCGTATATTATTCAGTCGTAGCGACATGTCATATACGTACACCATTTCATCCTCTGGTATAGGCGATAAAAAAAAAAAAAAAAAAAAATGAGGCTTATTGTGGTATAGAAGAAGAGTATAATATACCAAGAAGGGTCGGATCGATCCGAGGAGATGAGAGCCAAAACGCCACATGTGGATACAATTACCCCGACTGTCTCTCTTGTATCCTCCTTCCCCTCCTCCCCCATCGGTGATGTGTGAATATGCCGGAACGAGGTGACCCACAGTAGTGACCATTATGATATTCGGCCAGCCGTGTGTACTTATATGTATATAGGCACTGTAAATTGAATTTTCCGGGAATGAGCCGCATGGCAATAAGGGCCCGGACCAGCTGCGTGCGTCTCTGAAAGACCTAGGCAGGTATAGGGTGTGTATAATAAGATTAACCCCCCCCCCCGGGGAGAGCGAGGTGATTTTCAGAAATTAATTAAGATTTCAATTAGGATCGCCGGGGAGCCCGAGTGCTCTGCAAATACAGATTTGGCTTTCTTTATCCCACGCGAAAAAGAGCCGATTCAATTTTTTTTTTTTTTTTTTTTTTTTCCGTTTAAAAAAAAAAAAAAAAAAAAAAAAACTGACACATTGATAGACCAAGTCAAAGTCTTGCACCGAAGGACGCACGACATCGGGATGTTGTGAATTCATGCGTAACTTTTAAAATCTATCTTTGTCAATTATTGTTTTCAATAACTAGTCATGTTGTAAATTACACACGTATGCTGTTCGCTCTAGTAAAAATGTAACACTCATATTTCATGAAACGGTAGTCTTAAAGTAAATTAATTTCAGTTCCGTGGTTACTGTACACTGGTCTTTCACTCAACCCACTGGCAACGGCATGGGGCAAAGTTCATCGACTCGTCGACTCTTTGCACACGCGAATAAAACTCAAACAAAGCACAAAAAGCTCTAATGAAAAAAAAAAAAAAAAAAAATCCATATACCTAAGCTTCCGGCAATTACTCCAAAGCTATACGTCTCAGCTCTCACGTGTGTCCTCTCCTCACCCTCCAGCAACACGCAACGGAGGAGACAAACGCACCCTTGATCCCCGAAACATTTAACTCCCGAGACCGCTACACGCGTCCACACGCATCATCAAGAGACACACATTTCTCCACGTAGAGAAGAAAAATAGAGAGAGATCCAAGCGCCCGTTCCACGTGCACGGAACGAAGGAGACCTCTTTTCATTGCTTGTCGTTGGCTTTTTTCAAATGAAAAAAAAAAAAAAAAGGCAAACTAATTGCAACAGCCACCCTATATAAGTATACGTATATACAGCTAAATTTACCTCAACGCCAAAGACAGGACAAAGGGCTTTGTCTTTCATTGCTCTTATCTAATTACCGGCGCTATACGCAATATGTACCACTCTGTTTTTGTGTGACCAATGGAAAA